TTTAATAATAGAATAGGGGATTGGGATTGTGGTTTGTTTTGTCAGGCTTTTTCTTAGATTTGCCATCTATCGAGGCCCTTATTATGCCATGAGACTTTTGCTGTCTTCCTTTAAGCATAATTCTAAGATATTACCAGGAATGATGTACGTGGACATATATTAGTAGGTTAGGGAATACGTTTTAAAGCAACTTCATAGATTTCCATATGAGATAAAGGCAATCAAACTTAGATGTCATTTCATTCAGCTAACTCTTTTAAAATAAAGTCAGAAAGTGTACAGGTAAATCAAGGCAGATATCACCCAATATCACTGTCTCAAAGATAAGATTTCACTATCTAATTTTAAACAATTATTTCTCCATCTTCAAGATCATCAGGAAATGCTCTCTTTGGAAGGATGGTAGATGTATGAAAAGTCTCAATGCTGTTGAAATGTTGAAATTACATCATGTAAAATACGAACAAAACCCATGCCATTGTGCATTTCCTCAGGTTAAATATGTCATCAAACGATTACCACTTTGAGTTTCATAGTGCTGTTTTGCTGTGAACACATTGAGATACCAGTTTAGCTGGTAGAAAGAGACTTCCGCCATGCCATCTATTGTCAGCATCATCAGCCAACAACTGTTTTGAGGTCTTCAGGAACATCCTGCCATCATTGCCAGCCTTGGTTTTGACTGCCAGAGTTTAAACTGTTTTATTTGTCAAGTGTCTTAACCCTTCAGAGCTTTCATTGTTAATTGATTTTCTTTGCTTCTCATGGAAAAGACTTACAAATCCCTTGAGAGTGTGTATATATATATATATATATATATGTATATATATATATATATATATTAAAGCTAGTTTTTAAATTACTTATATTGAATTTGAGAGCTGGAAGAGACTGCCAAGGTTACCTTTTGGTATTAACATATCACAAGACTAGCCTATTCATTGAGTTAGTTTAATGTAAAGGAGTGAGGGCAGAGCTGGCTCTTGCTCTTTTCTGAGCACTATTTCTGGATGGGGAGAGTTCATCTGACTGGAAGAAAAGTGAGTACACAAGGACACTCACGTTTTGCTTGTACATACAAACATGAAAAGAAGAAAAGTAATTCAAGCGTATGCAATCAAAGAGGAAAGACTCTGAGACCAGCACTTTTGTGGAAGATCATGAATTTTGATTATTTACAAGACCAAGGTGCAGATTTAATTAAAGTCAACTTCTGTTGGACCTCATGAATATTAAACATCCAGATTGTATTCACTTTGACAAGTCTCTGAATCAAATATGGCTACAAAATAATCTCAATGACATTTGTTAGTTACAGGAAATAACTACCAAACTCTCACAACAAGTAAATGTTTCTAACAGAGGCATCAGACATTTCGAGGAGTCTTATGCCCTTGAATGGAGAGCATGTCATGGTTCCCACTTTAGAAAAGTCAAACCTTACTCTAATTCCGTGGTGTACACCATTGGAGACAAAGTTCAAATAAAATAGTAGTAATTCTTCAGTATTTTTGTTAAGTACACAATCTGAAATTGTACTTACCAGTCCCCTTCCCCCTTTTTTTGGTTTAAAGGTAGAATGAACATTCTCCAGGAAAATAATATATAAAAATATTTTGCCAAAGCATTTGCATCTCAGTTAAGGATACTATATAATTTTAGAAACAAAAAAGGTAAAATAACAACAAAATACCTTGCTCTAATCTTTTTGTAACATTGACAGGATAAGAAGAGGGGTGTACTTACTTGACCTTGAGATTAAGTATAGTGGTCAAAGTTACACTTACAGGGAACTGATGAGCTAATAACTTATATCCTACTTTGTGTTGACAAACTTGTGTGTGATTCATTTGGGTCTCGAAAATAATCTACTAATTGATATAATTTGTAGAGATGTGACTAATGGGTGAGTATATTTTTAAATTCTTGAGTATTTGAGGGTTACTGTATAGTAATTTTCCTAAACACATAAACAAGTGGTTAACATACAAGGAAAAACAGAATCTAATTTAAAATTTTCCTAATATAATTTTAGAGAAAGACAGCTCTTTAAAAAAACAATCTCTTAGTGAGGACCTCATTCAGTTGGCCAGTGCTTTCTTAGAATTCAAAGCAGCTGTAGACACCTCTGTTAATCAAATGCACTGAATCCACAGTAATCTTGAATTGTCAGATTAGTTCTCTGGAGTTAGAGAAGTTTGGTGGCCTCCTCAGAGCCACAGGGTGACTTTTGCTTGCTGTACTATGTTTTCTAGTTCTATGAAAACAATGATGAACATTAACTCCTCAACTCCTAAAATGCATATAGACAGACACATATGGACAGCGAGAGCATAGACATTTAAAAACAGAGCAAAAAAAAGTAACGTGAACAGAATGTGGCATTTCCTTTGGTCTGTTGCTATCGGCCCACATACAACATGTTTTAAAAATCCCACCCTGGTACTTACTTTCATCATCATTTAGAAATGATTCAAATGGACATTTCTAATGGATGGTATCAAGCAAGTAGTCATCCGGGGATAAGGAGAAGAGCTTCTTCAACTAAAGTTGATGAGAGTTGTGATGTGTGGTTATCAGCATTGCTGTGTGTTTTCTATCTTCTTATTGGTCATGCTTTTTAAAGCCATATTTTAATTATATCTTTTTAGTACTCCTAAGCCAACAACACAAAACATTACTTTTTTCAAGGGAAAATAATGATGGACATGACTTTTTAAATGCCACCAGGATTTTAAGACACTAAATGTGCAAAAAAAAACAACAACCCGGAATATTTTTATATCATGCACTTAAAGTGTTGACTCTGAAGCCAATTACCCTTTATTTTGTTAAAAATTAGAAACCAGTGTATCTTTTGCTGTCAGCTACCCAGTGCGGCAGTTGTCTGAATATTGACTAGTTTGGGTTCTTTACCATGTTCTGAGTGGCAAGTATCCCAGCCATTCACACACGTTCTTCATAATAACTCAAAAATTGCCCCCCCCCCATGAACCCAAAGACCCTCCAAGGGATATAAATTTGTTTGGATAATTTCTGCTGTTAGCAAACAGCTCTACTAACAAACTTGAAACAATTTCCAATAACACCGGGGATGCTGCAGAAAAGTCACTGTAGGTAGGCCGTGTGAAAAGCTGACCAATCACGGGCTATTCGTTCACTGTTGTAATAAGTCTAATAAGCCATGGAGGCTTATGTTTTTTTCTGTCTCCAATGTTTGATCCCGAATGTTGCTCTATAGGCATTGTATTTCAATCAATCACTCTCCCCCCCCCCCCCCCCCCCATTTATCCCACAGGGATTTCGTCTTCTTTCTTTGGTCTATGGTTCTGGAAGCATCTCAGGCTTCTTTGCTATGGGAGTCCCCGACTCACCTGGTTACACCACACAGTATACTACAGGTAGCCAGGTTTTGGAGCATGCATTTCCATTGACATACACTCCTCCAACAATCCTCTGGGGCGGGCTGCTGTGAAATCTGACACAGCGGCACGGGCCCAGCTGGATCTTCCTTCCCTCTCCAGAGTCCTAGCCATAGGCGCCCGCGGTCCCTCTGGGGGAGCCGCAGAGGGGCTGAGGAGCCTGGGAGAGGGGTGACTGCGGGTCTTGTTGCTCTGAAGATTTACAATGCACTTCTCGCAGGCGGCTCAGCAACCCCCTCTGTGGCTGTGGGTGTCTGGTGTGACGGAGCGGAGAAAAGCTCTCTAATCTCCCAGTGCCTGTCTCCGCCGCTCAGCCGCTCCCTCCCTCCCGCCGCCTCCCCGGCCTCCCCGCGCTCTCTCCTTCTCTCCTTCGCCTTTCCCGGGGAGTTTCAATCCCTGAATGCAGCTGGAGTAGACTTGGCAATCTAGACCAGGAGCCTGTGTACACACACACACACACACCACACACACGCGCACACACACGCACACGCGCGCGCGCGCACACACACACACGCGCACTCGCACACACTCACTTGGACTCTCCCCTCTGGGATAGGAAGCAAACCTTCATCTACCTGAAGTGTGGATGGCCCGGCCGGACACTTCTTCGTCACTTGTCATCTCCAGAGGCCCGGGCGACCCGGGAACCCCGGACAGCCTCGGTCCGCTCCGCAGCCTCCAGCCCTCTGCCTCCACCGCTGCTGCTTAAAGTATCCAGGGCGCAGGAGAAGGCTTCTTCTCCAGGACACATCCCCGGCCGGCCGTAGCCCCATCGCCCTCCGACTTCCTCCGGCTGCTTCACCCCAGTCACCCTCCAGCACTCCTCCGTCCTTTGCTCTCCGGTGGCGGGGTGTAGGGCGGCTTGGGCGCTTCCCAAGCTGCTGCTGCTGCGGCTGCTGCTGCGGCGGCGGCGGCCACTTCCACTTCCCAGGGCGGGCGAGCACCTTCCACCCAGAGGACCGGGCGCCCGGGTCTGGAGTGTGTGCGTGTGTGTGTGTGTGGGAGGTGGGGGTGCCAGCGGAAACCCTAACTTCCCTCCCCGCACGGTCGCTTGTCTCCTCTCCTTCCCCCTCCCCCCCAGCGCTCCAGGTCCTCCCCGCCTTGAGCGGGTTGGACAGCTCCGGAGGAAAGGCAGGCGAGAGAGCGCGCCGTGCGGGTTTGGAGAGCCCCCGGGCCGCGGGCGCACGGGGAGTGGGGTGGGGTGCAGGGTGAGCAGCAGGCGCTCGGGGCGCGGGGTGCTCGCCCCACAAGTAGCGCGGAGCGCACACACCGGGCGATCCAGACGCTTTTCCAAGTTGGGCGCGTCCCAGAAGCGGTGTGCCACCCCCCCCCCCCACTCGCCGCGTCTCATCCACGGCTGCTGTCCTGGGAGAGGCGGGGCTGATGGGGACCCGCGGCCTGAGACGATCCTAAAAGAACCAACCCCCCACCCCCCAGCCGGCACCCCCAGGGTCCCCAAGGCGGCGTGGCGCCCTCGGGCCGCGTGCGCTCTCTGATGACAGCGGCGGCGGCGCTGGCCCGGGTGGCCCGCCCGCGGGGGGTGGCCGAGGGGGCGGGGGAAGAGAAGGAGGCGGTGTGATGGCCCTGGACGGCGAGCGTGGGGAGCAAGAGGAGGAGAAGAAAAAGAAGAAGAAGAAAAAGAAGAGGAGGAAGAAGAAGGAGAAGGGAGAGGAGGAGGAGGAGGGGGCCGAGAAGAGAAGCTCACCGTTTGCCGCCCGCACCATGGCCGAGGATGCGGCCGCCTCCGCCGCCGCGCTCCGGGCCAGCGGCAGGGGGCTCTCAGACCCCTGGGCAGACTCGGTGGGAGTGAGACCCCGCACCACCGAGCGCCACATCGCGGTGCACAAGCGGCTCGTGCTGGCTTTCGCCGTGTCCATCGTGGCACTGCTGGCCGTCACCATGCTGGCCGTGCTGCTTAGCCTGCGCTTCGACGAGTGTGGGGCAAATGCGGTGCCAGGCACCGACGGGGGCCCCGCGGGCTTTCCGGAGCGCGGGAGCAATGGTAGTCTCCCGGGATCACCCCGGCGCCGCCACCACCACCACCATCACCATCACCATCACACGGGCGGCGGCGGCGGCGGCGGGGACTCCATGCAGCCCGAGACAAGCGGGGTAGCCATCCCCGGTCCCCCATCTCCCCAGCCGCCGCCGCCGCGGCCGCCGCCGTCGGAAGACGATCGAGAGCACTGGCAGCCATGGACGCAGCTGCGCTTATCCGGTCATTTCAAACCTTTGCATTACAATTTGATGCTCACCGCCTTCATGGAGAACTTCACCTTCTCCGGGGAGGTCAACGTGGAGATCGCGTGCCGGAACGCCACCCGTTACGTGGTGCTGCACGCCTCCCGGGTGGCGGTGGAGAAGGTGCAAGTGGCCGAGGACCGGGCATCCGGGGCGGTGCCCGTGGCCGGTTTTTTCCTCTACCCTAAAACCCAGGTCTTAGTAGTAGTACTGAACAGGACCCTGGACGCTCAGAGGAATTACAACCTGAAGATTATCTACAACGCGCTGATCGAGAACGAGCTTTTGGGCTTCTTCCGCAGCTCCTACGTGCTCCACGGGGAGAGAAGGTACGGAGGGAGGCGGTGCCCTGCGCCGCCCCACCCCGCTGAGCGGCGGGAGACCTCGGGGAACCAGGCTGGCTTCCAAGATCCAGGAAATCCCGGGAGGTGGAGGTGTGAGGGAAAGGAGAGGTGGGACCCTCACCCAGAACCTTCGGAGGATTCTCCCCCAGATGCCTGGTCTGTTACTGCTTGCTGATTCCATGGTCTTACCACTAACCAAAGAATGTTGTCCCTTCCTCTAGTCGGGACTTTCCTCTCCAGGCCAAAGTTATGTCGCCAGCAGGGCGTGCTGGTTTCTAAAGGAGAGCCTATTAGCAGAGTTGGGCCAGGTTCACATGAAAAGCCCGCCAGGTTGCTGACCAGGGGAAATAGTTGGGCACCAAAGACTATAGGGTAGCAGAGCAACTCGGTTTTAGACAGCCTTTTCGAAACATGCCCACCTCGCCTGACTATTAGTTTAGTAAGTAGTTGTAACCCCAACCAAAGGCAGGTACCGAGCAGAGGATGGGCTTTGGCTATATAAAGTTTTCCAAAATCACAAGTTGAGGTTCAGGGCAGCAAACAAGCAATTCCCAGGGCCAGGTTCCAGTTTTTTGATCTGGAGTTGCGCCTCTGGAAATGATGGGAAGGGAAGCTCACTGACAGTCTCCAAAGTCTTGTTAGGTAGGTAGTACATAGGCTGAGATTTACAGTTGGGTAATCTTTTTTTTTTTTTTTTTTTACTTGTGTTGGAGTCTTTGCCGGCCCTCTAGCTGTGGTCAAGTTTTGAGGAAAGACTTTAATCTGAACTGTCAGTTCCTGCCTATGCCAGATTACCTCTAGTGTTCAAGGCAAGTTCCCCATGGGGCCAACGCAATTATTAGCACTCCCTATGTTACAGATGGGGTAGTAAGGACAGAGACGCATCAGACAAGCTGACCCAGATTATAGAGTGAGCTGATAGAGCAAGGATTTAGACCAGGTAGTTTGTCTCTAGAGCTCATGTGTGTGTGTGTGTGTGTGTGTGTGTGTGTGTGTGTGTGTGTGTGTGTGTGTGTCTACTGGGTAATGGCGTACAACTCAGGGCCTGGGCACTATACCTTAGTTCTTTTCACTCTAAACTGGTGCTTTACTACTTGAGCCACAATCTCCACTTCCAGCTTTTTGGTGGTTAATTGGAGATAACAATCTGACAGATTTTCCTTCCCAAGGCTGGCTTTGGAACTGGGATCCTCAGATTTGAGCCTCCTAAGTAGCTAAGATTATAGCCATGAGCCACCAGCACCTGGCTGAGAGCCCATACCTTTTATTCTCACTTGGTGATAACAATAATTTACAGGATAGATGCATACATTTATGAATCAGTGTTTGAGAAACACTTAACCCTGTGCCTGGCATGTAGTGTTCACTATGAATGCTAAACTCTCATGAGCTTCCTGTAGCTTTCAAATATACTGTTGAATGAATGAAAGTGATTCTTGCTCTTGGCTCTAATCCCATGCATCTGAAATAATCTTTGCTGAATTAACTGGCTTATAGGACAGGTGGACAACCAAAATGAACTTAAAAATGAGATTGACAATGACGGAAATGATGGTGATTAGCAATTAATCAGGCAGAGCCTCAAGTTTCCTCCGGTGATTGTCCCCACAGCAGAAAACTAGGGCTCAAAGGAGCACCAGTTATCTGAGGTCAGCAGGCTTGTCATTGGAGAGCCCTAACCCAGGGCTCATGTGTTTGAAAACTCTCTAAAGAAGTTATTGTGTAAGAGGCTGGGGAAACAACCTGCAAGTGAATTTATTAACTACCTAACTGTCTAACATCTAAGGTCATACATGGATAATTTAGCCTTCTAACATGTTCTAAAGACTACAGATTGAAAGCATTCTTTAAACCCACAATCAGATCAGTTGTGCAGGGAAAGCATAGGAGGAAAATTTGCATGTGATGTGTAGAAATAAGCTTGTCCTGTCGAAACATCAATAGTGGGAGTTACACATCATTACCGATAAATCTTGCTGTGGTGAAACACATACTCCCTGAAATCCTGTTTTTCAAGTCATGCCAAAATGAATTTGGCAGAACTGAGCTTGTTTTGGTCAGCGCTTTCAAATTAAGAGGACTCTTCAAAAAGACCAGATGTTCCTGCTTGACCTATAACTGATTATTTGTACCCCGAGAGCATATTTGTATTTAAACTCTCTTCTTCTGTTTTCCCCAAGGATGTAAACAATTTGGCTGGAAGTTTAAGCTAGTACATGGGTGTCTAACTCTGCATCCCAGTGTCCTAGTGACCCTATAATACTTCTAATTTCTAACTAGCATCCTCCAGTAAGTCCTTGTTCCTCTTTCTCTCTCCTCTCTTCCATGTCAGAGTGAATCGGATCATTTCTTGGCTGTTCCTACTGGAGTCGATAAGGCAAAAGAAACCTAATAAAACATTTCATAATTATGTCAACATTCTATATATTAAACTTTCACTGTTGGTGTTTTTGTCTCCAAGACTACATGGAGCATTTTTAGAACAGACTGATGCTAGGAACTCAGCCAGGGCTGGAACTTTTATTGGTGATGTTTTTGCCCTGCAAATGCAATGGAAAGTGGCATTTCAAAACTCACTTTCCAAAACGACACAGACAGAAAGTGAATTTACATTTAATTAATGATTAAGTATCTTGATCTTTGGTTGTCATCAGGTTTTTTTTTGCCAATTTAATTATAGCTTAATTTCGATCATGAAAACACATATTTAAACCATCATCAACTAGAAATATTTAGATGAGCAATACTACAACTTAGCCCACTTTATTTAGCCTTTGTGGAAACTATAACTCACTAACACCCCGTCAACCTAATTCTGTCTTAGGGCTCCTATATCAGAGAGAAGGCATTTCAATGAGAACAGTAAAATTAGATTTTGCTGTTTGCTCTGTATCTTTGAACATTGGAAAAATTTCTTCTTCCATTGGGTGTTGGAGGATGCTTGATTCTGTCATACAGGGAAAACTTGCCAGGTGCTGGTTTCTATACTGTATTGAACAAAGGTTAGAACAGAAGCTTTGCCCACCAGTACCAGGATTCTCCAACATCAGGTACTCTCTCAACATCCTCCACTCACTGATACTCATTTGGCTAAAGAGAAAACTCATCACTTGTTGAATACTGGAATAAAGTAAATTCTCAAAACGTTGAGATGTTTATACACAAGCAGTAAATTATCTCCAGTAAATGGAGCACACATTTACTTTTTTTCTCAACAAGGTGTGTAGGCAGGCAGATAAAAGGTGTATGTATTTATACCACAGTCTCTTAGAGGAGAATAAACTTGCTTAGAATTAGGCGAAGTATTCATTTACCTGAAGTAATCGCTGCTTTGGGGTAGCCAGATGGTGTGCACACCCATGTTCAAAGTAGGGTACCTTAATTTAGATCCAGATGGTCAGATTGAAAGAGGAAATTTACCCAAAGTAAATGAACATTTTATTCATTTTCAAAAGAGACTGCTTTTTCTTTGACAAACTTTGATTGGGTCTATAACATGCCAAAGTGACAGAAGACAGAATAAAAATAGAATTTTTTTTCTATAAAGGGTGTTTAGAAAGAAACCGTGATCTCAGAGTAAGATGAGAAAATAATTATTGCAGTTCTCAAAGAAAATTGGGACTCTTTTTTTTTTGGCCAAAATCTTGGGTGAGCCTGCAGAATATTTATCTCTAGGTACACATATACTGTTTTGGGGGTACTGGAGTACCTAGTTTTTGTGATATATATACACATACATATATACATATACATACATATATATGTATATATGATTTCTGGAATGACTTAATAATTGTGATAGTTACTAAAAGCAAGGAAAGCACCACATTGAGTCTATGTTGAAAGCTGCCTCTTTTTCCTGTTCCTTTTGGTGACTTTTCTTTTTCATGAGCAAGTGGGGGTGTGCATGGCTTTTTGCCCTCTGTAGAACACTGTGAACTGAAAAATCTTGAGAACCATTTGTTTTTGTGAAACATTTTTTTATATGACTCCTTGATGGAATTAGCCCACTGTTTTTTGGTAGGTACACACAGCCATATGGCTAAACCGAATCTAGTGCTGAATTTTGGTTTCAAGTCAAAATGTCACTAAATCTAATTCAAAATGTGAACTAAATCTAATATGTATGTATACCTATATGTATATATACACACATATATCATATATAGTCAGAAAACAATTGGTGTTTATCTTGTCATGTTTTTCTATGCTCTATCTGATTTGATCACATGAGATAGTAATAAAATATATAACCTCTCTGAAAGAGTTAAAGAAGTTAAAAGAGTTTGATGTGTTTGTATTTAGTCAGTGCAGCTTCAACAGGGTCTTTCTGTTCTAGATCTCTCTCAAACAATGATCGGCTCCTTGCTTCCTCTCCCAATATTTGCTTTGCACTGTGTATTTGTTTTCTTTAAACTTACTTGGCTGGTATGTGAGACAAGGCTACAGGGCAATGTACTTTTGCTTAAAGATGAAGACAATTGGCTAAGACTTCGAGAGAACGATGCACCTATTTAAGCAAAGAATAACATAGAGCCAGGTGTGGTGGGTCATGCTTCTAAAACAGCTACCCAAGAGTCCCAGTTGGGAGGATTGAGGCCAGCCTGGGAAAAATGTTATCCAGACCTGTCTTAAGCAACAAACTGGGCATCATGGTGTTCAGTGGTCTCAGCTATGTGGGAGGCATAGGTAGGAGGCTAGGATCTGGGACAGGCCCTGAGCAAAAACAAATAAGAGACTTGATCAGGAAAAAAATAACTAAAGCAAGAAAGGGCTGAGGTGTGGCTCAGGTGATGAAATATGATCCAGTGTGGGGCCCTGAATTTAAATCCAAATATTTTAAAACAAAAACAACAAAAAGAGAGATACAAAAATGGTGAAAACTAGTTTACTTTTCAAACATGAAGACAAAGCATTATTCCTTCATCGTGAGCCATGATAACTGTTGTTACCACCACCATCATTACCATCCTCACCATTATTCC